GCAGTGAAGAAGCTGGTGGACACCAAGTTGAGCCAGCAATGAGCCAGCATTTTGTCCTTGCGGCAAATAATGTATCCTGGGTTGCTTTAGGAGGAGTGTTACCAGAAGGTCAAGGAAGGGTATTCTTCCTCTCTACATAGCATTGCTGAGGCCACATCTGGAGTGCTGGGTCCAGCTCTGGGGTTCACCGTTCAAGAAAGACTTACTGGACAGACTCCAGCAAAAGGTGTCTAAGAAGTTTAAGGGACTGGAGCACCTCTCCTATGAGGAAAGTGTGAGAGAGCTATGTTCAGCCTGGAGAAGAGAAGGCTCAGGGGCAATGTTATCAGTATATACAAATACCTGAAGGAATGGTGTGAAGAAGGTGAAGATAGGTGCTTTTCAGTGGTTCCCAGTGACAGGACAAGAGGCAATGGGCACAGACTGAAACACCAGAGCTTCCATTTGAATATCAAGAAATGTTTCTTTATTGTGAAGGTGATGGAGCCCTGGCACAGGTTGTCCAGAGAGGTGCTGGGGTCTCTTGGAGATCTTAAAAAGCTGTCTGGACATGGTCCTGGGCACTCAGCAATATGTGGCCTTGCTTGAGTGGGGGGTTTGGACTAAGTGACATCCAGAGGTCACTCCCGACCTCAGCCAGTCCGTGATTCTGTGAGAGCCTTCATCTAAGGCTTGTGCTGTAATTTAAACTCCTCTGTTACTAGTATTCATCCCTGCCTGGCAAGTCTCTCCTTCCATTCTTGTGCTGCAGTATTGAAAACAATTTCAGCAGCCTCTTTTCTTTAAATTTTTCTTTCATCATTAACTGTGGCATTCAGCCTCAGGTCATTATTCCTTCCTCACATTAGGAACAGGCTTCATACTTCCCCTTGTTGTTTGATTGTGTGAAGAAATTCAATAGAGCTGTTGGAAAAAAAAAGAACTTTATTATTGTCACAAAACCAGTAAGTAGTTAATCTGAAAGATGGCTAATAGCTTTAAAATTCCATATTTAAAGCCATGTCACTTTATTACTGGACACTTTCAATGGCCTGTGTTGTCTATTATCCTGTCTTCCTGATCCATTCTTTGAGGCTTTAGAACTTCATTTTCATTAGCAGGAGAAATTAGCAGGTGAACCAGGTGTATCCACTGCAGTCCTAATTATTATGGATAATGAGAATAAAAGATGTTTGTCACAAGATTAAGACACTGTTTTTTCCTCATAACTTCCAAGTCTGCTCAGCCACTATCTACAAGTACTATGCCTGAAAGCGCACAGCATTTCTGAGCAGTGCTGCTTCTGTTCTTGTTTCCTCTCTTCTCCCGTCTATGCAGTTTACCAGGCAAGCAACACCCCAGTCACTGCATTTGAAATCAAGGAAACACCCTGCTGCACTACTGTGTGTTTGATCAAGTCTCACCAGGGACCCATCATCTTTGATGTTGGTGTCTTCTGGCTTTGATTATCTACTCAGGTAAAGGGCTTCACATCTTCTACTTAGAACTTTATGTTTCCTGTTTAGAAGGGCTCACCTTTAAACAAGTTTGTATTTGTTGGCAGATCTGCTGATGAATATTATACTACACAGTTCCAGTTGCAAGCTCTTTGAAAGACTGTCTACATTTGTACAGCACCTAACAGCCATCTATCAGTGGACTCTATAGATACCACAGTCATTAAAAAAGCAAATCATTTAAGTAAATAACAAACACAGGACTTTTAAGAAAAAGTTTTTATTGCAGGGAGCCTGTCAGCAAATATGATGAACAACGTAAGAGACAATGGTTTGGAGTGGACTGGTGGGAAGGTTTGCCTGGAGAGGAAACCAGTGTAGGAAAATAAAGCCTGAGGTAGGGATGGAGAGGGTTGAGTAAAGATAATATTGCCCAAAATAAACCAGTTGTCCCCTTTATGAGAGAGAAGGGATGAAGAGGAGAGATGGATTATTTTGCCATTCCAGATGTTCAAAATCATGTGTCCTGGGCTTCTTTCATGAATTTGCAAGGTTTTTTAAATCGATGCTCTCTCACCATCTAGGTGTTTTATGCTGAGCAATCAGCACATTTGCAGATTTTCCTTCTTTCCCTCCATTAAAGTTGTAATTCTCATCTGGCACCTGTACATTAAAAATGAAGCTGTTAGGACTGTAAAAACCTAGGGATCTGTGAATTTAGAAAACCCGTGAGAACTTGACATCACCATCTCATGAGCTTTTTATTTTTTCTTCATATGCAGATATATAAAACCATCACGTGTGTATGTGGCATGTCTCCTTGGAGACTCAGGAAGAAGAAGGGGAATGGAGATGGGACAGAGATCCACAGTTTTGTGGAGGTCCATGTTATGTGAAGTCAGGGTTTAGTTCATCTCCTGTAGACAGGAGAAAGGTTTTGGTTTATCGGTTACATTTTTGTCTCCAAGAGTGAAAGCTGGGTTCTCTCTGTTGCATTATCACCTAGTGTGCTATGCTGGGCAGTAGGGCAATGTCACTATACAATCTTGTACAGGCCTAGTGAGGATGAGTACAGGATGGTGATTGAGAGATGCATAGGCGATGAAGGTCTGACCTGAAACTCCTGCTTCCAAAGCACCTCATAGTTCCCACATGAAGCTGGTGGGTATTTTAGGAGTTCCATTCTCAGATGATTCTGATAACGTGACGTCATGAATTTCATGATGCACATAAATCCAGCTGCTCCAGGCAGGCTTTCTGTTTACTGTTTCTGCAGTAATCTGTAATGTCTAAAAGCCCTGCACTGTGGCAAAAAATAAGACGTGTCTGAGGAGGGAGGTGATTCAGCTGAAAACATATACATATATTTTCAGCACAAGGAGTTGCTGCTGCAATCTGGGACAGCAGTGAAAGACTTCATTACCAAGGCTCTGACTTTTACCACACTTTCTTCTTAGAGGGCAGTATGCAGTCCTTGTGAGCTCTTAATCTGTCAGGGAACGAGAAAGATTATTCACAGTCCTCCAGTTCATGCTGTTTCTCAGCTTTAGGTAAAAGTGAATACTGGCTGTATGTGACAATATACCCTATCATGTGGGTGTTAGAGTAGTGGCAAAGCAGGCTCTGTCTGTTGTCTGCAGCAAAAGTCAAAAATATGCTGAGTCAGTGATGCTGTCCTGCAGCTGACATGACACTACCAGTCCTGCGCAAGCAAGTGTCACAACTTTGCTAATATGCCATGTAATCTACTTCAGTTTAACCTTGTCTCGGAAAAGTTTAAGGAAGGTATAAATCATCATCCTTTCACCTGCATCTATTACATTCTGAGGAGAAGCTGTGTTACCATGAAGGCTGTTCTGTTCTGCTAGCAAACTGTATCTTTCTATAAACAGAATGCCCATAAAACAAGTTGGAACAATCTGCATGCGACCAGCCCAGTGTGCTAGTGGATTTCCTATTTGAAACTGTGGCTGGGCCGGCATTAAGGATAGGCCTTATTTTGGTGCTTTCTGTTGTTCAAGTCCACGGTTCTTCAAATATTAAACCCTGGTTTTTGGAGGGCAGGGGGTAAGCTGATGGTAATTAAGCAGGAAATTCTATTTTGTTTTCTAGACCGTAAAAATCAGAAAATTGGACACTGGAAACAGGCCCCTTTAACAATGAGCACTGGATTGCTCCTCCATCTCCCCCATGCAGACACATTGGTCAAATATTCCTTCTTACCTCAAACAGAGGAGCAAAAGGGAGCACAATCATGGTACAGCTCACTTGTGCCTGCAAGGGCAGAGTTTTTCTTTAATTCAAGGCAAAAAAAGACCATCAAAGAGCTACATCTTTTTGATCTATTCATGCTGGTAACACACAGTTGTTCGGAGCTCTGTGGACTTTATGTTCTGGATGTGGTTGAAACGCCATTGCAGATCCAAGCTGAGCCAAAACAACTTGAAATTATCAAGAAGACTATTGGAAATAGAGATGCACACCCACTACTGTGGATTATCAACCTTGCACTAAGGGTATACTGTGCCTTGAGAGATGAGATAATGACAGTGTGATGCCATCACCTTTACCAGACGGTTACAAACGAAGCATCCAAAACATGCAAACAAACCTCTACCATTTGTCCAGTGATGCTTCAAGTCTTGTGGTACTCAGTCTGTATCATTTACAAAATGTCACTAAACTTTATGATAAATCACTAGGAGTCTCTCTCTTGTCTAGGAGAAGAAACAGGGAAGAATTGGGAAGATATTTTTATGTCCAGCTGGAGAACAGAGTGAAACACAGGAGGCCAGAAGGCAGCTATTCAGGGCACCACATGGTGAAGGCAAAGCAATGTCCAGAGAAGCAACTCCACAAATCCAGCAGTCCAGGCACCTTGCCCATCACAACTCTTTGCCAAGGCTCTCAAGCAGGAGCTCAGAAGCCATCAGAAGAGTAAAGAAAGCAAGGACATTTCTGCATGTGGGAGAAGTGCCCGACTGAAAAACATCAGGAATGGGGCACTTTGATGCCTAATGTTACAGTCTTCCCTCTTCCTCCCTGGGCACCAGATCCTAGAGGCAACAAAGCACAGCACTGCCCTGTGCCCATAACATTTCAATAGAGTTGGGTTTATTTACTGCTTGGCTTTAGAGTCCAAAAAGCTGCAGCTCTGGAAATTACAAGCAACACGTGCTATTCAGCAGCTGCTCTGTTGCTGCTCCATTGTGCCCCGACACTGGTGCTACCATGTTAACTGCCATGCAGCATGGGCATCCCAGTGACATTTGAGAATTACCCCTCAGAACCCGCAGCCAGCTGGGTTGGCACTTGCTACCTTGCAGGACCAAGCCCAGCTGCTCAGGGAAATGGCTACAGCTGGGCACACCTTTTGTCAAACCCAGACAAGAGTTTCAAAGGGAGCCATTTCCAGCAGAAACATCATCTTGAGTCAGTAGACTCAATTTCTCCTGTCCCTCAAGGATGGAATAAAAGAGCAGCAAGTGAAGCTGTGAAAAAGTTTTCCAAGCATGCAGCAATGACCATGGGACCAAAACAGTCCCTTGCATTTCTTCTGAGGAGAGCTCTCTTGAAGCTAATGACTTCTCATCTCTCAGCTTTCCAAGGAGGCTTTGGAAAATTGTTGAAAGCCACCAATTTAAGTCCATTTGGCGGGTTGATGATGGAATTTGTAGTGTGATTGATGAAGAGGGAAGTGCTGGCAAGGAAAGGACCTTGGAGAGTTTTTGAAATTGAGAGCATGAAAAGTTTTGTTCATGAGGTCAACATATATGGATTCAGCAAAGTGCTCTCTGAAACATCTTGCTTGATGAATTTCTGGCAGAAGAAGTGGCTTCTGCTCAGAGCAAGGTATATCAGCTCTCCTGCGCATCAACTGACTCAGAGTGTTCTGAAGGGGCAGCTTGACATTCAAACAAAATAAGCACTGGCAATGGAGGAGATGAAGATGTGTGCTGGTTTTGGCTGGATAGAGTTAATTTTCTTCACAGTAACTAGTATGGGGCTATGTTTTGGATTTGTGACTAAAAATGTTGATAATACAGGGATGTTTTTGCTATTGCTGAGCAGTGCTTACACAGACTCAAGGCCTTTTCTGCTTCTCACACTTCCCTACCAGTTAGCAGGCTAGGGGTGTGTAAGATGTTGGGAGTGGACACAGCCGGCACAGCTGTCCACAAATGACCGATGGGATGTTCGATACCATAAGATGCTCAGCAAAAAAAAAGCTGAGAAGAAGAAGGAAGAGGGGGACATTTGGAAGTATGGCATTTGTCTTCCTAAGTAAAGGTTATACATGATGGAGCCCTTCTCTCCTGGAGATGTCTGAACACCTGCCTGCCAATGGGAAGTAGTGAGTGAATTCCTTGTTTAGCCTTTGCTTTACCTGCTAAACTGTCCTTATCACAACCCACAAGTTTTCTCACTTTTACTCTTTTGGATCTCTCACACGTTCTGCTGTGGGGGAGTGAGCAAGTGGCTGTGTGGGGTTAAACCACGACAGAATAGCACAAAATGTTCTGAGATTAATTTCTTGCCTAGGTTATCTCTCAGGTGAAAACACAAGGCTGGTCATTGCTTAACAGAGCCATAAAGTAATAATTTGGTCAGCCTGAGGTACAGGTTTCCAGTGCCCAATTCACTTTTTCAGGACCCACGTTGGTCTTCTGCCATTAAAAGGCTCAGTTCTCCTATATTAATGTTCTTAGATCTCAAAATGCTGGCAACTAAATCTTCTTCTTTTGAATTTTTTAGTTACTCTTCTACTACAACCTCAACTTTAAGAGACATTATCCCCACCAGCTCAAAAAGCGCAAGCAGAAATTTGCTGTAAGAGAAGAGAAGCAGCTGCATTTTCACAGGAGAGAGATCCAAAAGAAAACTGTTGTAGAAGAAGCCCGTATGTGCAGCCTGAACAGAACAATGACTTGTTTGCAGCAGCTCCACAGGAGGACATGTGGATAGTTGCACCAGCAAGTTCACACCTAACAAGCAACGTGCTTGTCGTGGTTTAGCTCAGCTGGCAGCTAATCCACCATGAGGTCACTCGCTCGCTCCTCCCCCTCAGTGAGGTGGAGAGGATAAAAAGGTAATAAAAGGCCTGAGGGTCGAGGTAAGAACAGGGAGGGATCATCCACCAACAATGGAACTGGGCAAAACTCAGCTTGAGGACAAAACAATTTAATTCATTAACAGTTCATTCGGAGAGGATAGCAAGAAACAAAACCAGATCTCAAAAAAACCCACCTTTTCCCTTGCCTCCCTTTTTCGATGCTCTACCTCCACCCCCAGAGGCACAGGGAATGGAGGGGGTTGCAGGTCAGTTTGTTACACATTGTTTCTGCTCCTCCTTTCTTAAAGGAGGAGGAGGACTCCTTACACTATTTTTCCCCTGCTCCAATGGATCCCCTTCTCATAGGACAGTCCACAGACTTCTCCAAAATGAGTTTTTCCCATAAGATGCAATCCTTAATCCATCAGATTGCTCCAGCACTGGCTACTTCCTCACAGAAGTCACAGCTTCTTAGGCAGCTCCAACATGAGATTCCCCCTGGTCTTCAGATGCTTCTCTGCCTCATTGTCAGTCTCCAGCAGTCTACGGAGACCATTCTCTATGACTTCGTTCAGACATAGGCATCTCTGCTGAAGTGTGGAGTTCTCCATGGATGTGGGTGGATCACTCCACCATTAATCTCCATGGGCAGCAGGGGGACCGCCTGCCATCTCACCACAGGTTGCAGGGGAATCTCAGCTCCAGCACACCTCCTCCCGCTCGGTCTTCACTGTCCTTGGTGTCTGCGTGGCTGTTTCTCTCAGGTCTCAGTCCTCTCAATGAACCTCAGCAGTCCTGACTAGATGAACTCCTCCCACTAGGTGTCCCAGAAGCAGGGTGCTTTGGAAATCTCCAAGCCTTGCCGCTACATCCATCTCGAGTTGGGTAGTAGTGGGCCAGCGTGGGCAACTGCCCACCCAGGAGGGTAGGGGGCCAGCCCCCCGCCTCCCCTCTCTCTTCAGTCTAGGTCCAGCCTCTGTTCAGGCTCCTTTGTCCTCATCTTAAATAGGGCATTTGCAGAGACGCTGACTGGCTCAGCCCTGGCCTGAGGGGATGGAGGGGTCTTACCTGGCCAGAGGTCAGTCCCACTGATTTTGGAGCTGGGGAAGCTTTTCACAGCTACTTACAGGGGCCATTTCTGCAGCCCCTCCTGTAAACCCAGCACAGTGCTCAAGCAAGTTCCTGCATCACCACTGCCTGTCCATCTCTGCAGGCAGCTGCTCTGATGTTTTCAGACCCTGCTGTAGCAGCAAGCAGGAAGAAGGTCAATCCTCAAATCCCCTTCTGTTTACCACCACACTGCAGTCAGGCCCTGGCCTTCAGCAAGCTGCTTCTGCTGCAGTTGATCCTTCATCAAACAAAAGCATACCTTATATACCAAGTTTGACAATGCATACCAGGGCTGGGGCTTCCCACCTTTCCACCGCTGCAGCCAGGCACAGCAGGTCTGCAGGTCTTCTTCATTGCCCTGTCTCCCTTCTGGCATTCATGATTTCCAGTGGTCATGCTGGCAACAGCCTCTGCTCTAACCATGCCAAGGCCACTGCATGGCCAAATCCAAGGAGCTCCTCATTGCCTGACTTGCTCCTGCAGCCCAAACCCTGCTGCTGCAGGTAATGGGCTGGGAACCCACTGGGGAGTAGACTAGACAAAGTAGACACACTTGGTACCCAGCAAGTAAAGTATCAGACATTTGGAAACAAACCACCTCAGTAGGAAACACTTTCCAGTTGTCCTGTCCTGCTTTTTACAGGCCTATCCCAGACCAAGTTTGTATTTCACCAGTCGAAGCAGGAGCAACTGATCCATAAGTAATTGCATTATTTCTCATAATAATCAAGCTCAGATTCTGAGAAATCCAAGAGCTTTCATCTAATCTGACAGATTTCCAAGTTTGCATATTCATATAAAAGCAAAACAAGGTGGGAACACTATTTCTAGTAAGGTTCATCAATGGAAACACACTTCACACCAAAAGAAACTCCGGGGATGTCTAAGAATATCCCTTGGGATGTGGGAAGGAAGAACTTAGTTTATATTTAGTTTATATTGAAAAAAAAAAAGGAGTAAAGAAATTAACCTTCACTGACATTTAACATCCAAATTGACAAGAGAATCCTCACTTGCTCTGTACAGTAAAGCATGTTGTTTCACACACTGTACCAAGGACTCCTGAGGAAAGAGAGGGTGTCCACAGCACGTGGCATTCACAGCAGTGCCCTCCCTTATCCATGCTTTCAATGTATTTCCATTGTGACTGACAAACAAACCTCTATCATCTACATAGGAAAATCAAGGAGCAGATCCTCCTGGAAGCTTTGCTAAGGCACATGGTAAAAAAGGAGGTGATTGGTGACAGCCAACATGGCTTCATAAAGGGCAAATCATGCCTGACAAATTTCATGGCCTTCTACGACAGAGGTACAGTGTTGGAGGATAAGGGAAGAGCTACTGACATCATCTACCTGGACTTGTGCAAAGCATTTAACACTGCCCTGCACAACATCCTTGTCTTGAAATTGGAAAGACACGGATTTGATGGATGGACCACTCAGTGGATAAGGAATTGGCTGGACGGTCACACTCAAAGTCTTGTGATCAACAGCTTGATGTCCAAGCAGAGACCGAAGCTGAAAGCCATTCCTCGGGGGTCAGTACTGGGGCCAGTGCTGTTTAACATCTTTGTTGGTGACATGGACAGTGGGATCGAGTGCACCCTCAGGAAGCTTGCTGATGACATCAAGCCGCGTGGTGTTGTGGACACGCTGGAGAGAAGGGATGCCATCCAGAAGGACCTTGACAGGCTTGAGAGGCAGGCTGTGGATACACATCCTGGATATGTTTAAGAATAGGGTGGATGAACTACTTAGGGATATGGTTTAATGGGCATTAGGGACGGTTGGACTGGATGATCTCTAAGGTCTTTTCCAACCTAGAAATCTATGAAATCTATGATATATCACCCACCTGGCTTGTATTGGTAGTCACCTAATTAAGGTTTAGGTCCTGCCTACAAAAGGTGGGCCATTTCCTTCTGGTTGTGGAAGATGAAACGTCATCCTTGGAGCCGCAGCCTAGGCTGGTGAGCAACAACTGGTGACTCTGACGTGATACTCTCATGAGAGACCCTGAAGACCGTGACCCCAACTCCCTTGCCAGAGCCAAAAGAGCCAGAGCTGGAGCGAGAAGTCGTTCGATAAAGAAGGTAAAGCTGCTACCCCAAAAGAGGGAAGTAAGCTGGAGTTGGAATGAATGAACTGGGTCTCTGCTCACCGTAAAGCCTTCTTGAAAACAAAAAAAAAGATTGTAGTACTTTGGGTGACTAAAACCAGTGGATAAGTATGGCTATCACCCAGCTGGCTTGTAATTATCTAATTAAGGTTTAAGCCCTGCCTACAAAAGGTGGGCCATTTCCTCCTGGTTGTGGAAGATGCAACGACATCCTTGGAGCTGCAGCCTAGGCTGGTGAGCAACACCAGGCCCATGTGAACCTCCTGAAGTTCAACAAGGCCAAGTGTTGCCAAGTCCTGCATGTGGGTCGGGGCAACCCTAAGCACAAGTACAGGCTGAGTAGAGAATGGACTGAGAGCAGCCCTGAGGAGTAGGACTTGGGGGTGCTGGTTGATGAGAAGCTCAACATGAGCTGGCAATATGGACCTGCAGCCCAGAAAGCCAACCGTATCCTGGGCTGCATCTAAAGAAGTATGGCCAGCAGCTTGAGACAGGTGATTGTATCCCTCTGCTCTCGTGACACTCCAACTGAAGCTGCATTCACCTCTGGGGCCTTCAACATAAGAAGGACATGGAGCTGTTGAAGCAAATCCAGAGGAGAGCCACAAAGATGGATCAGAGGGCTGGAACAGCTCTCCTATGAAGACAGGCTGAGAGAGTCGGGGTTGTTCAGCCTGGAGAAGAGAAAGCTCCAGGAAGACCTTCTAGCAGCCTTCCAGTACCTGAAGGGGATCTACAAGAAAGCTGGACAGGAACTTTTTGCAAGCATCTGTAGTGATAGGACAAGGGGCAATGGCTTCAAACTGAAAGAAGGTCAATTTAGATTAGCTATAAGGAAGAAACTCTTCACTCTGAGGGTGGTGAAGCACTGGAAGAGGTTGCCCAGAGAAGTTGTGGATGCCCCATCCCTGGAGGTGTTCAAGACAGGGCTGGATGAGGTTTTGAGCAACTTGATCTAGGGGGAGGTGCCTTTGTCTATGGTACCTTCCAAGCCAAACCATTCTGTGATTCAATGAATCTATGATAAGGCTCAGGGGAGGTGGGCCAGGGTGATGTGCCAGTGAAGCTAGAGGAACATCTAAAGTAACCTGGTCAGAGAGTACTAGATGTTTGCAGTAGTTGGTGTCATGCACAGGATATTCCCAAGGGCAAATGTTATCTATTGTGTTGGTAACATTTCAGCAATACTGAGATTTCTGAGTTAAGGTTCTACTCGCAAAGAAGAGCCTAGTAGAAGCAGCTTGCGCTCTTTGGGAGGGGAAGTTATAAGATCAGCCGCAGACGGCACCGCTGCCATTAAAGGGGGTATAAATTATGAACAGTAATAAAGACTGGAAAAAGCTAGGTGATAAATTTGAAAAAGGATGGAAAAAAATCCTATCTGAACTATTTCATGGTAAAAAAACATTGCACTAAGCCCACTGATATGTGGGATGAATTTGGAAAGTAGAGGTTTCTGAGAAATTGAAGAAAGGAGGGGAAAAAGCAGGTTTGTGCAGGCTATTAGGAAGTTGCTAGTGAGCAGTAGTGGAAAGTAGTGGAAGGAGACATGTAAGAATAACATCCGAGAGGGAGAAAGAAATCATTATAAAAGATACTGTGTTGTGTAAAACACC